GTTAGTTCAGCATAGTTGCAGTATAAACCAGAGGTTACCTCTGTGGTTTTTGAACACACACAACTGTGCCTGAGTAGGTGCATGCAATAGGGATTAAATAGCAGATACGTAAACTTGAAAACAAGCAGCCATTGTATATATACCTGCACACACCACTCAAATATCAAAGCATTCATTCTAACCCAAACATGTTTACTTAGCATGGCATAAGGCCAATTGTGAGAGGTGATGAGAGTAAGAAGATTCTATTATTCTAAATTTTCAAGTGGCGAGAGCCTAACTGATTTGAAAATTTGCTTTTTTAAATCTTTGCTTTTATTTGGCTCAGATACTGGCCTTTAATGCAAATGAATTGATCTTGATCCTCTAAATCAAATATCTCACTTAGCTCAAACATTGACCTGTAACTTCTAGTAGAAAATATGTAACTAAGCTATAAGGCTGGCTCAGATTTTGATTAATTTTAATTTTTCATTATTAGATTGATAATATGTGAATTATATTGTATCTAGCATTAGCAATTTTTTTTTCCTTTTTTTTTTTTCTTTTTGCCTGAATGAGTGGGCACAAGAGTGAATGAACTTAAAGAACAAAACAAAATCCACTCCTCTTCCAGTTTCTTTTTACTGACATATTTTGGAAATTATTTACTCATCCTTTTGGTATTTATTACAAAATTATAACTTTTCAATTTGAGGAAATGTTTGTCATGCTCTAAAAAGTTCCTATTGTAGATGACTTGCACCATGTGGACTTTGTGAAATTTACTAACATAAAACTATGGGAAAGTGAATTTTTTTCTTTTTTTGTTGAAAATTGAAAGTTTCTTGATTAGGACTTGGTCATGAGATTGAATTCAGTACCAGGGATCCTGACTTGTGTGAAATATGCCAGGTCTTAATATTTTGTCTGAAAAGTGTTTTTATCTATGTTACCAGTAATTTTTTAAATTATGTACTTTATTATTATTATTATTTTTTTTTTTTTTAACTCCCTAAGTAGATTAAATGATCAAAAGAGAGCCCCATGGTCGTAGGGGCACCACACATACTGCAGTTGCAGTAGAAGCCGTGTTAGAAACGCTGACAGAGACCAATGCTCTCCAGGCCAGTTTGTATTCAGAACTTTCCTTCTCCTAAACTAGTTGCCACCCAAGGCTGCCAAACCCAGTCTGCCCTACTATTTACCCATAGCTGGGGGGAGAAGAGGATTCATACCTTTCCTAAGAGTATTAGCACATAAGTGAATGTAATATCTGACTGGAATTCAAAATTGGCTCTCGGCTTCCTCAATCAAAGCTGCTATCCATTACTTCACAGTGCCTTCTATATGTTCTTGATTTTGAGATGAACTTCAGTTGGTTTTAATATTTACCAAATTGTAATATTCATTTTAAATTTCTTAGATGTGACATTGTCATTATTATTAATTTTTGTCTGATATGCTTTCATCATCTTTGCTTATATACTACAACAACAGTAATAGTAGTAGTAATAGTATTGTCAATTTCATATAAATGAATTTCTAAAGAAATAATGGATTTATTTTGAATCCCACATTTTTATTACTTCAGATATTACATTTGAAGTAATAAAAATCTTGCATTAAAAATAAATCCATTACTTTTTAGAGATTACTTTGTGTTTGTTTCAAATACAAAACTGAGTTGATATGGGCTTTTTGAGAAAAATATGTGAATGAGGAAGCATGCTTTCATTAAAAGGGAAAATAGAAACTTGCCAAACTGTGTCACCCTTCATGGCTGATTGATAAAGCTTGTGGGATCAAATGGTGCTCTCTCCTACACTGTACTGCATGTTCAATCACTGCCAATGGTCATATTTCCTTTATTGAGATTTCTCAAATGAACAGACTGATAGACACAATACACACTGTTTAAAGTAAAAATAAAAATAGAGATCGGGGTGGGGGGTCTATTTCAAATATGAAGTGTCCACTATAATATCATTTGAAGTAATATAAAGTAATTTACATATTTTTCTCTCTTTCAAGTGCATAGAATTATGGTGTAGTTTTTGTTTATTGCTTTCTTCAGAGTTTGTAAAATATTGTAATACATGTTTGATTTAGGATAGAATATTACATTTCCTGCTGTATGTGTTATTTTTCTAATGTTACATTTAACTTTATATTAATCGGATGCAATAAAGATAATCATTTCATTGGCATTTGATTTATGTTTTTAATCTTATAAATTTTCTTGACAGAAATTTTATTTGTTTATAAGTTATTTCCACTTGATTTTTTTTTTTTTTTTTTTAAATCTTATCAATGTTTTGAGACAATGTCATCTTTGCCACTAAAGTGAAATGCAAGAATTTAGAACAAAGGAATAATTTCTCACTAAACTTAAACTAACATCCTGTACTCTGTGAACTCTTCATTACTAATCAGGTTTCCTAGTTTTTTTTTTTTTTTTTTTTTTTTTTTTCATCTTATATTTTTAGCTAATAATTCTTTGGTCATTAAACTGTAGGTATTCAGAATAAAAAAAATCACTTTTGATAAGCCTTATCTCAGTGTATGGATGTGTTATTATTGCTTACCTCGGTGTATAGATGAGTTATTATTGCTTACCTCGGTGTATAGATGAGTTATAACAAATTTAATATAGGAGATTATGAAATTGAACATAGAATAGGCTGTGCTATTTACCCAATACAACAAATTGATAAAAACCAAAACATTAACCCAAAAAATCAAGATGTTCTTAAATAGCCTCTTTAGATCGAGACTGTTACATGGATGTCATGCATGGTGCCAAATCCATTCAGAAATATAATAAACTGTCAGCTGTATACAACCACCTTTTCAGATTGATGGTTAAAAATAGCTTTGAACAAGTGAAGCCTGTGGATCTTAGCGAAGACTATACTTCTTCGAACCATGTGGACTGACTCTACAGGATCACAAACAAAGTAATGTACCAAATAAGAGAGACCGCATCATTTGAGGACTTTCAACAACAACAACAGCAGCAACAACTAAAACTGATATCACATGTAATGCGAAGAGAAAATAATGATGTGATCAAGATGTTCATATTCTATACTGCTTCAAACAAAAGGTTAAGAAGGAAGTTCCTATTAGTACTGAAAAGAGCAATAACAACTACTGGACTTAAGCTTATTTTCCTGAAAAATTGTTTTAAGAGGAAGATTTAATTTTATAAATTTCAACTGAAAGTAATACTGGCTACTTGGTCAATGAATGCTAAATGTTTCCTTATAAGGAAACTGCTGATATTACTATTACCATTAATTTCATATCTATAGGATCAAGTAGTTAAAAGTATTATGTTAAAAAGCAAGTAGAAAATAAGAATTCATAAAAATCTATAGGCTTACAGCCATTTCATGTTGAAACACCAGTTCCTGTATGATCACTGAAGTTAAGCAATGTCAAGCCTGGTCAGTATTGTTATAAAATAAAATAAGACATATCTCGGCTGATTTTCAGGCAAATACTCAAGAGCGAGAACCAGATGTGAACGGGACAAAACCCTGCCACAAAATGACCATTATCTTCATTTACAAATGTTCCCGACACACGAGTTCCGGTCGAAAAATAAAATAATATTTAAAGTGTTTTATTTTTTGTCCAATAAAAATGCTTCCCTCCTAATTATGCTCGCTTCGTTTTTCGAGCCTGTTAAGCCATAAAAAAACGCTATAAAAGGGGTCACACAAAAGTTCAACAGGCAGTCAACAGGTGTCCAGAGTAGAGACCTGTCACGGTCAGCTACTGACAGCAGGGGAGTGTCAACCACCGTCAACATGTGTGAACTACTATGAGAGATCGACCTAGATCCGAAGCCGGCTTATGAACTTTACCACAAGGTAGCTGTCCCAAACCCACACGTTCCTGTTGAAATAAACCACGTAAATCTATTTCTGCTGTTGTCGTATTTCTTTCTTGCAACCATACGCTTGTCTATAAAAGTATCTAGATGGGTGACCACTTGGATATACAGGTGGTGTAATGGATAATGACTTGGAATTGTTAATTGGAGAACTGAGTTCCAATTACAGTTAAGTTCATTATATTTACTTTTGTGCAAATACCCTTGGGAATGGTATGAATCCACCTCTTCTACCCCCAGTTATGGGTTAATTGGTGAAATTTTTATCACTAAACATTCTCATAATATGTAAATATTTTCTGTTTCTAAATAACCTGTAAAAGGTCGATAAACTGTAAAAAAAACAAAAAACACAATCAATCAAAATCTATGCAATAATGAAAATACTTAATCTTAAAACAAGACTACTTTTTTTTTTTTTTTTAAACTTACTTTAAGATATCCTATTGTGCAAGTTATGAGTTCAATCCCTGGATCAGACAGTGTAGAAATATAAACCTGCTCAATAGGGATAGAGCATTATTAAAAAGAAGAATTGTGTTGTGAAATTTCTTGTGAAAGACACTGGATACGACAGGGGAAAAGGATGAGAAAAAACATACCCATATGGATCAGTTATAAAGGGTTCTATTTAACATAATCAGAATGTTAGTGCCTGTGAGATTTGAGGAAAGCCAGAAGGATACATCAGCTGAAATGTGGTAAAAATAACAAAGTTAATGAAATTGCTTGGAAAGAATCAATGTATAATAGTAACAACTCTTTTTTTTTTTCTTTTTATATTTGTTCATCTTTTAGCATTCTGTAGATGACTTTGGTTTTTGATCAGAACATATTTGTCCTGTCGATGCAAATGACTTTGATTGTTGAATGATATTGTGCTTGAATTATTATAGTTGTAGTGAGTTCTATGGAAAAAAGCAAAAATGTCATTGACTGAAATTGAAAATCTTAGTAACCATGAAAAAGAATTCAGTGAAAATAGAAGTAATACTTATAAATAATGCAGAGATTCAATTACTTAATTGCACCTAAAAAAACAAAATTAAATTTGATATTTTACCATTTGTTTCTTGTATTTATTTTATATTATACTATTTTTATTATTAATTTTCAGATGTGACTCCGCCTAAGAAAGTTTTGAATGACATGAGTGAAAGTTTAATCCAGGTAAGCTGAAGTTTCCATACTGGATGTGTCACAATTCTTGATTTACTTTTAGTAAGATTAATGCAATGTTCTTATCAGTGGGCTGGGGTAATGTTTGAGTTCATGCCTTTCCCATGGCATTTTACCATTTTAACCTAGAATCAAAACATATCCATTTGGTATTTCCCATTCCAGCTACATTAGTCTATCACTCAAAAAAAATTCTCTATCATTCAGTTATCTTTAAGTTGATCTGAAGATATAAAAGACCTAGTATTTATACCCTGATGATCTAGATCATAGGACCAGCCAACCAACTAAAATACCATTATTTATTTGACTAGAATGTGCATCATAATATTGTGCCAAATGATGCTAGACATGTAATAAGTAATATTTAAATCCTTCTAAATGAAGAAGAATCAAAGTATTGTGGGGAAACATGTAAAAAAAAAAAAAAAAAAAGAAAACTTTCCCTCATGAGGCCATTTTCAGGATTCTTCTTGCTGTCTTCTCCTCCCACTAAACCTAAAGAGTTAGTTTCATCCATTTCAACAATCTATCAGAAATTAAAATTTTAGAATACATTACCATGTAAGAAAATGCACAGAAATTAAACACATATCTTTGTACCTCCATTAGAATGTCTGACGCTCAACTTCTCGAGAGCAACTCTCTGCAGCTTCTCGGTCTCATGTTGACTGCTGACCTGAGATGGAATAAATACATTGAGTTAATTGCCTCGTCCACTGCAGGAAAGTTGGCTCCCTGAGCAGCGCTTCGGAAGTTTTTCTCCCCTGAGTCGATCCTCCAGATATACAAATCCACAATTCGCCCTTGCATGGAGTATTGCTGCCATGCCATGGTCTGGCGCCCCTTCTGTTTGCCTCGGGGTTCTTGATAGGCTCCAGGGTGGATATGCAATATGGTTGGCCCTGGCGTCTACGTCTACAGTCACTTTCTCACAGACACGCCCCGTCGCCTCCCTCTGTCTGTTCTACAAATACTTTCATGGAAATTGCTCCGAGGAGCTGCATTCGCTGGTTCCCCAGGCGTCATGAGTTCAAGCGCCCTCTGAGGCTGGCATCCGCTCTCACCCCTCACTGTCAAAACTCCCAAATGTAGCCGTCTCTTCTACTCTAATAGCTTCATGTCTCGCACCTCTCGCCTGTGGAACTCCCTTCCCTTCTCCTGTTTCCCTGTGAGCTATAATCTCCAGCTATTCAAGTGTAATGTCAGTCGACATCTCCAGTTGCCTTGATCTATCCTCTACCCTCATCCTTTCTTCTATCACTCCTATCTGATCTTGCTATTTCCTGTAACCCCTTTCATCCTAGTGGCTTCCCGCCTTGCTTGGGGTGAAACGCTTTAAAAAAAAAAAAAATAAAGCATCTATTTTAATAATGATAACACCAACAAATTGAGACTGCTTGAAGGTGGATCAGTAAATTTGTAGCCTGAAATGAAATTTTATCTATCACTGTAGTGAAGATTTCAGTCTATGTAATTGATATTTAATTAAGTGCATTGCCAAAGAAAAGGATTATTGTAAAATATTGTCAAATAAATGCTTTTATTTCATCATTAGACTATGTCATTATGTATTTACATATAATTTTAAGTCATTTAAGTCTATCTTTGTGTTTGTTGCTTTTGTTGTAGACAAACTGTTCTCCAGCCGTCTTCAAATGTACAGTGTTTAAAGAAAATGAAGTCTCTCTCTTTTTATAAATGAGAAGGTTTATAAACAGAACAGAAATATTGGTTAATATTATGATGACCTTGGTTTATTCCTGATAACACAAGCCATACAGATAATACCATTCATAGTGACTTGTGTAACATAAGGGATTCTATATGTACATAGGATTCCTTTTCAATTTTCTTGTTGAACAATGAAAACCATGATGACTTTTTGCATCTTTCTTGCAGGATAATACATGATACTTTCTTTTTTTTTCTTTCTTTTTTTGCTAACTTTTTTTCCTAAAAAATAAAAGAAAATGCTCTTTTCTTTACGTCTATGCTGCTCGTTTGAAGAAGGCTGAAGAATGGATCAGCTGAAATACTGTGGTAACGAACCATGCAAAGAGCTCAGCTGGAGTGATGATTGATAGATCTTTTTTTTTTTTTTTTTTTACTCATTGTATTTTATTACTTCAGGCTGATCTTGTCCCAGCTTCCATAGTTTATTTCGGCTGCCAATCAGAAAAAGGTAAGTTTAACCCAAGAGAAATATCAATATTTTTTTTACATATGGGTAAATCATTTTGAAAAAAGAATTAACTCACACAAGCACAAAATTTAACAGTTAATAGTTGAAAAAAGAAAATATTGTGATAAAAAGTAGCATGAATAACTAGGAAAAATATTTGTAATGGTGAAAAATTGGGGCCTTATTATTAATAATAATAATAAACTTAATAAACTTTTAATAAACTTAGTCATAAAAGGTTAAATAAAAAATAAATGTTTTACTTTCGTAAAAGTGAGGATGTGCAGGTGGTGTAATGGGTAGCTTCTTGGAATTAAAAATTGGAGAGCCATGTTCAAATTTTAGTCAGATTCATGACATTCACTTAAGTGGAAATGGTATGAATTCATCTTTCCTCCCAGTTATGGGTTAAATCATTTTTATTCTCAAGAAAATATTAATGCAATATTTACTCACAAAAAAAAAAGTATTTTTACAATCCAAAGAAATATGATTTGACTTTAAATAACTCACAAAAAATCCAAATCAGTCAATTGTAACAATGAAGATCAGATAATAGTTAATGATGAAAGTTATCAAAGACTTTCTTTTGAAATTTTACATCTTATTTTAGGATTGTTTTATCTATTTAGACTTAACACTTATAAGCAGTACTTTAATATAATTCATTGAAGTTAATTTGATGGCATATATAATGTTTGGGTATCATGATCATGAAACCCATAACCCTATTAGGTGTGTAGGGCCACCATATGTACTGTGGCCACAGTAGCAGTGGTATTTCCTGGTTAAGATAGCCTGACAGAGCTCGACCCTCTCCAGTTTTGAATTCATTTTTTTTCCTTCTCCTAAACCAGTTGCAAACCAAGGCTATAGGATGCAGTCTTTCCTGTTATATCTGTTATATAGCTGTGGAAATAAGAGATTTATACATTTCCCAAGGGTATTAACACATAAGTGAATGTAATGAACTCTACTGGAATTCAAACTCAGCTCTTCAATTCCTCTATCCATTATTCCACCATGCCTTTGGCTATAGAAAACATAAAAATGTTCAGAGAATATTCATTATAAACTGATGAGTTAGAATAGTTTAAGTTAAATATTCAAACAAAAATCAAACCTTCATGTATGGAATATAACTTTTTAAAACTATTTTTGGACTGGAAGTCAGAAAAAGGTGTCTTACATACTGTCATTTTCAGGTGATAATTTTTGCTACCTGTCTTTGGTGGTTGCTTTTGTTATGATTTGTTACAAGCATTTAGTTTATCATGGTATTTTAATTGTGATTATGTACTTTTTTGCTTTTAGCTAAATTATTATTCTCTCTGTATGGCAATCATGCATTTCTACCTTGGATCAGAATATAAAATTTTCCTGATTGCCACAACCTTCTGAGTTGGAATCAATTAGAATAGATTCTTGATCACAAAGTCTGTTATTTTGCTTGTTTACCTTGAATCGGTGGCATTTCTGCTTGATCGCCCAGAGCTGAGTTGGAATCAATTAGAATAGATTCTTGATCACAAAGTCTGTTATTTTGCTTGTTTACCTTGAATCGGTGGCATTTCTGTTGATCGCCCAGAGCTGAGCTGGAATCAATTAGAATAGATTCTTGATCACAAAGTCTGTTATTTTGCTTGTTTACCTTGAATCGGTGGCATTTCTGCTTGATTGCCCAGAGCTGAGTTGGAATCAATTAGAATAGATTCTTGATCACAAAGTCTGTTATTTTTGCTTGTTTACCTTGAATCGGTGGCATTTCTGCTTGATTGCACAGAGCTGAGTTGGAATCAATTAGAATAGATTCTTGATCACAAAGTCTGTTATTTTGCTTGTTTGCTTGACCTTGAATCAATTAGAATAGATTCTTGGTGGCATTTTGCTGCTTGATCATTTTGTTTGAGCTGAGCTTGGAATCAATTAGAATAGATTCTTGATCACAAAGTCTGTTATTTTGCTTGTTTACCTTGAATCGGTGGCATTTCTGCTTGATCGCCCAGAGCTGAGCTGGAATCAATTAGAATAGATTCTTGATCACAAAGTCTGTTATTTTGCTTGTTTACCTTGAATCGGTGGCATTTCTGCTTGATTGCCCAGAGCTGAGTTGGAATCAATTAGAATAGATTCTTGATCACAAAGTCTGTTATTTTGCTTGTTTACCTTGAATCGGTGGCATTTCTGCTTGATCGCCCAGAGCTGAGTTGGAATCAATTAGAATAGATTCTTGATCACAAAGTCTGTTATTTTGCTTGTTTACCTTGAATCGGTGGCATTTCTGCTTGATCGCCCAGAGCTGAGTTGGAATCAATTAGAATAGATTCTTGATCACAAAGTCTGTTATTTTGCTTGTTTACCTTGAATCGGTGGCATTTCTGCTTGATCGCCCAGAGCTGAGTTGGAATCAATTAGAATAGATTCTTGATCACAAAGTCTGTTATTTTGCTTGTTTACCTTGAATCGGTGGCATTTCTGCTTGATTTTGCCCAGAGCTGAGTTGGAATCAATTAGAATAGATTCTTGATCACAAAGTCTGTTATTTTGCTTGTTTACCTTGAATCGGTGGCATTTCTGCTTGATCGCCCAGAGCTGAGCTGGAATCAATTAGAATAGATTCTTGATCACAAAGTCTGTTATTTTGCTTGTTTACCTTGAATCGGTGGCATTTCTGCTTGATTGCCCAGAGCTGAGTTGGAATCAATTAGAATAGATTCTTGATCACAAAGTCTGTTATTTTGCTTGTTTACCTTGAATCGGTGGCATTTCTGCTTGATTGCCCAGAGCTGAGTTGGAATCAATTAGAATAGATTCTTGATCACAAAGTCTGTTATTTTGCTTGTTTACCTTGAATCGGTGGCATTTCTGCTTGATTGCACAGAGCTGAGCTGGAATCAATTAGAATAGATTCTTGATCACAAAGTCTGTTATTTTGCTTGTTTACCTTGAATCGGTGGCATTTCTGCTTGATTGCACAGAGCTGAGCTGGAATCAATTAGAATAGATTCTTGATCACAAAGTCTGTTATTTTGCTTGTTTACCTTGAATCGGTGGCATTTCTGCTTGATCGCCCAGAGCTGAGCTGGAATCAATTAGAATAGATTCTTGATCACAAAGTCTGTTATTTTGCTTGTTTACCTTGAATCGGTGGCATTTCTGCTTGATCGCCCAGAGCTGAGCTGGAATCAATTAGAATAGATTCTTGATCACAAAGTCTGTTATTTTGCTTGTTTACCTTGAATCGGTGGCATTTCTGCTTGATGCCCAGAGCTGAGCTGGAATCAATTAGAATAGATTCTTGATCACAAAGTCTGTTATTTTGCTTGTTTACCTTGAATCGGTGGCATTTCTGCTTGATCGCCCAGAGCTGATCTGGAATCAATTAGAATAGATTCTTGATCACAAAGTCTGTTATTTTGCTTGTTTACCTTGAATCATTTCTGTGATGGCACAGAGCTGGTGGCATTTCTGCTTGATTGCCCAGAGCTGAGTTGGAATCAATTAGAATAGATTCTTGATCACAAAAGTCTGTTATTTTGCTTGTTTACCTTGAATCGCTTGATGGCTGATTTCAATTAGAATAGATTCTTGATCACAAAGTCTGTTATTTTTGTTTGTTTACCAGGCATTTCTGTTGAGTTGGAATCAATTAGAATAAATTCTTGATCACAAAGTCTGTTATTTTGCTTGTTTACCTTGAATCGAGTGGCATTTCTGCTTGATTGCACAGAGCTGAGCTGGAATCAATTAGAATAGATTCTTGATCACAAAGTCTGTTATTTTGCTTGTTTACCTTGAATCGGTGGCATTTCTGCTTGATCGCCCAGAGCTGAGTTGGAATCAATTAGAATAAATTCTTGATCACAAAGTCTGTTATTTTGCTTGTTTACCTTGAATCGGTGGCATTTCTGCTTGATTGCACAGAGCTGAGCTGGAATCAATTAGAATAGATTCTTGATCACAAAGTCTGTTATTTTTGCTCACAAATGTCTGTTATTTTGCTTGTTTACCTTTCTTGAATCTGTTATTTTGGCATTTCTGCTTGATTTTGCCCAGAGCTGATCTGGAATCAATTAGAATAGATTCTTGATCACAAAGTCTGTTATTTTGCTTGTTTACCTTGAATCGGTGGCATTTCTGCTTGATTGCCCAGAGCTGAGTTGGAATCAATTAGAATAGATTCTTGATCACAAAGTCTGTTATTTTGCTTGTTTACCTTGAATCATTTCTGCTTGTGGCATTTCAATGAATAGATTCTTGATCACAAAGTCCCAGAGCTTTCTGAGTTGGAATCAATTAGAATAAATTCTTGATCACAAAGTCTGTTATTTTGCTTGTTTACCTTGAATCGGTGGCATTTCTTGATTGCCCAGAGCTGAGCTTGATCACAAATCTGATTCTATTTTGCACAGAGCTTTCAGCTTGATCGCCCAGAGCTGAGCTGGAATCAATTAGAATAGATTCTTGATCACAAAGTCTGTTATTTTGCTTGTTTACCTTGAATCGGTGGCATTTCTGCTTGATTGCACAGAGCTGAGCTGGAATCAATTAGAATAGATTCTTGATCACAAAGTCTGTTATTTTGCTTGTTTACCTTGAATTTCTGTGGCATTTGGAATCAATTAGAATAGATTCTTGATCACAAAGTGTTATTTTGCTTGTTTACCTTGAATCCTGCAGAGCTGAGTTGGAATCAATTAGAATAGATTCTTGATCACAAAGTCTGTTATTTTGCTTGTTTACCTTGAATCGGTGGCATTTCTGCTTGATTGCACAGAGCTGAGCTGGAATCAATTAGAATAGATTCTTGATCACAAAGTCTGTTATTTTGCTTGTTTACCTTGAATCGGTGGCATTTCTGCTTGATCGCCCAGAGCTGAGTTGGAATCAATTAGAATAGATTCTTGATCACAAAGTCTGTTATTTTTTGTTGTTTACCTTGAATCAATTAGAATAGATTCTTGATCACAAAGTCTGTTATTTTGCTTGTTTACCTTGAATGGTGGCATTTCTGGGCTGAGTTGGAATGGCTTGATTTCTGTTTACTTGATTGCATTTCAGAGCTGAGCTGGAATCAATTAGAATAGATTCTTGATCACAAAGTCTGTTATTTTGTTTACCTTGAATTGGCATTTACTTGATGCTTGAATCAATTAGCATTTCTTGATCTCTGTTATTTTGCGCCTTGAATCGGTGGCATTTCTGCTGAGCTGGAATCAATTAGAATAGATTCTTGATCACAAAGTCTGTTATTTTGCTTGTTTACCTTGAATCAGTGGCATTTCTGCTTGATCGCCCAGAGCTGAGCTGGAATCAATTAGAATAGATTCTTGATCACAAAGTCTGTTATTTTGCTTGTTTACCTTGAATCAGTGGCATTTCTGCTTGATTGCACTGAGCTGAGCTGGAATCAATTAGAATAGATTCTTGATCACAAAGTCTGTTATTTTGCTTGTTTACCTTGAATCAGTGGCATTTCTGCTTGATCGCCCAGAGCTGAGCTGGAATCAATTATGTTTTTTGTTAAAGACACTTACATAATAATGTTAAGCATAAAGCTGAGAAAAACTAATAGTGTCTGAAGGAGAAAGCCAGGAGGAAAGAAAGCTAGAAGAAATGATGAGAAAATGGGTGGAGGGAAGAGGAAGACACAGACTTGCTAGCTGGATATCTAGAGACAATGAATGAAGATTGAATGAAAGGTTCAGAAGAAAAAGCATAAAAATTGTTACATTAAAATTTTTTATAGAAGAAGAGAAAGTTAAATGAAAGGACATTGTTGAATTTATGTGCATTTCTCAGTTTTAACACATGAAGCTAATCCATGTTATAATATTTAGATAAAAGCATGAATGAATAACAAAGATTGGAAGGGATGAGGGTGAGACTAAGAAGATACATGCAAGAGGATGATAGAAGATCTGAGGCATGGGATTATGGATTATTATCTTAATTGTTGATGCATGTAGAATTTTCAAGTGTGCAATTAGTTTTATTTCAAAGCTTTTAATTTAAGAATGTTTGTGAAGTGATGTTGTAACTCTCTTAAATGTTCATGAGAGATGAATAACTGCTACATTGATTATTTACACTATTTAAATGCTATATCCATTTTACTTCAAGTTAACCCTTATCTGTAAAGCTCAGAAACATTTTGATTTTCCTTGATTTGTCATGTAATTATCATCTATCAATTTTAGTCTTTTTGTTTTTTGTTTAAACAGCACATTATCTCAAGAAAGACCTTACATCTTCACTTGTATCCTGGGAAGAGGCTGAAAAGTATTTTCGAGAAACTGTGTAAGTTGGAATTGTTTTAGTTTTGTTTATCTTGTAGTTTATTGGGATTTTTTTTGTTTTTCTTTATTTGATCTTCTTTTCTTCTTCTTTTCTTTCTATTTTCTCCCCTTTTTCCCTCTTTGTCTCTTTTCCCCCTCTTTGTCTCTTTTCTTCCCCTTTGTCTCTTTTTTTTCCCTCTTTGTCTCTTTTCTTCCCCCTTTTTCCCTCTTTGTCTCTTTTCCCCCCTTTTTCCCTCTTTGTCTCTTTTCTTTCCCCTTTTTCCCTCTTTGTCTCTTTTCTTTCCCCTTTTTCCCTCTTTGTCTCTTTTCTTCCCCCTTTTTCCCTCTTTGTCTCTTTTCTTCCCCCTTTTTCCCTCTTTGTCTCTTTTCTTCCCCCTTTTTCCCTCTTTGTCTCTTTTCTTCCCCCTTTTTCCCTCTTTGTCTTTTTTTTTCTGTTTTCTTCTTTTTGTTCTTTCCTTCTTTTTGTTCTTTCCTTCTTTCTTTTTATTTTTTTTCCCTTATCAAAATGAATTTATTTATATTTTAATGTCAGTAAAATCCATTTAGGTTGTGTGTTTAATGTCATGCTTATTGGCTCCGTAAGTGGATTTGGCGAACTGAGTTCAAATTCTTGTCTCATCTGTTCCATTCACTTTTGCACTATTGTCTTTGAGAAAGGCAAGGATCCAACTCTTCTCCCTCAACCTGTGGGTTAAACAGTAGAGTAGACTGAACTCTCTAGCTTACATTGATAGCTGAGTTCAAACAAGGTTGACCCTACAATGTTCTTTTTTAAACTCTTTCCAAATCTAGTTGTTGTAAACTACATATCATCACTGCTCGCTTTCTTTTTTACTGTCTTTAATCGTAAACAAGCTAATTAAAAGAACTAAGGCCTCTTCTCAGTTTCCTTTCATCTCTGCTTCCCAGTGCTTTTTTTTCATATAGCAGTACAAGGAAAATTTTGTATTGCAGTTAAATTTGGAAGAAGAGATATGAAAGGAAATTAATGATTCTAACTTTGATTTTGGGTTTAAATCTGATGTTCTAAATCTTTGCCTTAATTGACATGAAATGAAATCATACAATGCAGAATATTCAGTAGTTATTTACATGTCAAGGCCTACAATGGCTTGTCTGTGAAAAATGCATTATGTATTAAAGCAATGTAAGCAGAGCCACTTGTCTAAATACAGATTGTAAGGATGAAACAATTCATTGTTATACTGACTAAAGTAACTATGAAAACTTAGCCACAGTTCTGGAGAAATAGGTGGGGATTGAAGTCATAGACAATGACACTACTTAAAAAAAAAAAATGTAATCTACATTTTATGTACACTTATTACAAGTATTCATTTATGTCTATGACATAAATTACTTACCATATATATATATATATATATATATATATATATATATATATATATATATATATATATATATTGCGTATATTTAGGCAGCATCTTTTCATTCATGCACGTTTCATTAAATAATATAGACAAGTGTTGTCTATTTATTTTAATCAGCTGAAGTATTAGCAATGTTTTGAGTGATAACAACCATTTTAAAACTGATCTACTTTATGTACACTTTTGTTACTCATTCATTTCTAAAAAAGATAATTAACTGGCTGACCATTTTGATTTTGACAAATTTTATTCTAACAAAAAAATTCAATTGTCTTTGGGTTTTTTGATCTTAAGTGATCTAAAAAGAGTATTTTGCAGATTGCTTTGCAAAGTAGAAGGGATGCTTTTAGATAAGTATGTGATGTTTTAAGGGGTATACTTTGAAGGGGACTAAAACACTGTTGGTCTGGATAGTGTATTCTAATCTACCTATTTGTTTACTATAGTGAAGAAACATTATATATATATATATATATATATATTAGTAATCATCTGAGTTTCTTAGAAGAAGCATTTTTATTATTTAATACATCATTTTTTAGTAGTATCTTCATTTATCATAATGCTTTTTTTTTTTTTTTTTTTTTTTTACTAATGTTCACCCAATACAAGCCCAAGAGCTACTCAAGGTAGATGGTTACTGTGTGAAGTTATTTTAGTGTAGAAAAAGATAAGCATTAGGAGTATAGAGCAAAGGTAGACTTTAGAAGGGACCCAAAACCCAATCCTAAACCTCTGCTCTTTTTCAAAAGACCAGGAAGGAACGTGAAGAATTTAATCAGAAAAAATATTCAGCCTTCAGATTGTAGGAATTTAGGTACTTTGACATTCTGGGATGAAATAGTAAGTTTAAGCCAAATGTTTGTGTCATTATTTTTTATGCATATAAACATACTCATTATTCAGTCATCAAGATATTTTTTCTTGTTTTCTATTGTATTTCACTACTCCTTCAGCTAAATTGTGTATTCCATCATGAAAGAAGGATTCTTGTTTTGATCCAATGAATTCTTCACCAAATGTTTCCATATTTTGTTGGAAATGGTGACCATAAAGCAAAACAAATGCTAAGTCTGAAGACGATAGGTTTGGAGAGTATGTCTCATGTAGAAGAACTTCTCATTCCAAATTGATGATCATTTACTACATCCCATTTGCAACATATGATGATAGGTGTTGGCAGGCAACAAAATCATTGGTCATTTATGTTGCCAAGTAAAAAGCTTTTTTTATTCTCTTTTGTGTCATTCAAATGAGCCAACTATACCATTGTCCTGGTGGCCAACAAAGAAATGTATTTGTTTGAATCTTATGAAACACATATTTTTCCCCAGTAGCTTGAGAGGTTGAAAGATGTCCTGGATTTAAAAACAATTTGCTTTATTTTGGATTCCCATAATCCATTTTTCATTGCCAGTAGCTGTCTTGTTGATAAAAGGCAATTTTCTGTCAGACATGAAGAGAAAGTTTCAACACTGACCAATGTTGATGCCTGGTGGAAGTTCATAAGGGATACATTTTCTCAACTTTAAAATTGAGGCTTTTGCTTGTAAACAATGTAATACGGAAGGCCATAGAATGGATCATCTGAAACTTGTTAATAAAATCAGTCACAAAGAAGTGATTCAAATGTGTGGAAAAGAATATTTAGAAAGTTAATTTATTTTTGATTTCATATTGTTTTCTCTCGTGTTTGAAGTTTGTAAGCAACAATAATAGAGTAAAACTAGTAATAAAGTTTTAGTGATAATGAAGAGTGGGTTTTGACTGTAGTATTGTATGCAAATTAGATAGACAATTATGAATAGGGAACAACTTGCAAACATATGGTGGCTATTCCTAAGCAAACCTGGTTGCTATTCAGGACACTGAGAACTGTACTATGACTACTGCTACACAGATATGCAAAACATTACAGACGAAAAACTAACAATAAGATGGATTAAAACTAATAATAAAATGAGATTATTTTATAATAATTAATAAAATAGGATTATTTTATGATAATAAAATAGGATTATTTTAATAATAATAATAATAATGATAATAATAATAAAGTTATTTCCTTTCAAGAAATTTAAGAATATTTCTACCTCACCAGAAGTTAGCAAATGAAAATGTTCTGGGTATGACGTGAATAAATATTGAAATATTAATAAAACTACACACAACTATTGTTGATTGAATAGTTTTATTTGAAATTTCCATAATCTTTTATATCTTAGTTATTTTATAGATTAGGTTTCCAAGGTGACAAAATTAAGTTATAAACAGCATTTACCACTCTGTTATACTATCTCTGTCCCATAATAGTTATTACATCTAGTGTAGGAAATGTGTAGAAAATGTAACAACTATTATGGGACAAAGGTTGAGATAAAAGAAATACATCTGGGAATACATTTTTTTTAAAAGAATAATTCTGGCAAAGAATTTTAGACATTTGCCAAAACAAGACTGTTGTTCTAATCATTGACTGATCTTGTGTAAAAATCTGTCAGACATAAGCTCAACAAAAGTAGATACTGATTTAATGAGTTGAATTTGTAATTGAATATGCAGTTTCAATTAAGTGGAAAAGTACTGGTATATGTGTATTAGTGAAAAGCAGACAGTAAAGCCTTTATGATAAATGTAAGTGCAGAGAGAAACCAATACCATTTGTCTGCGTATTGCAAATAATATTTCATATGTAAATTTTACTAGAAATAGTTTTCAGGAGTATAAAAAAAATGTAGCTAAATGCTAAGTAGGCAGCCATTTGAATTAAATCTATGATCCTTGTCAACAAGTTCAGTGCTATCTGACTATCCTCCTCTCTTTCTGGTACGTTAATTCTGTCCTCATTTTCATTTTATGGCAAACATTTGAAGTCCAAAATGTTCTCAAAATTATGCATATTTAACATTGAAATATGTAGAATAAGAGAAAAAGATAGCCACAGTATACTTTAGCACTGGCTTCAATATAGTATATATTAAGCATGGTTTGATACATTTCTAATTATTGGCCAGTGGTTTTATTGATATTCTATTATAATCTGTTTAGCTTTAGGCATTTGCTGTACTAACAAACTATTTTTGGTAGTAAAGGAATAAAATTCATAGTTTAATTACAAATCTCATAATTTTTCTATAAAATTTGTTTTAACAAATTTTAACATTCATTGTGAATAGGAAATCCAGAAGAAATGGATTGTTAGTGACAGAATAGGACAATTATTTATATAATTCAGCTTTTTTGAAAACCAATTTCTTTACCAAATACAATGTTGTGCAATTCTTGAAAAATTACCGAATATTTTTATGAAAAGTTATTTTAGCATAAAATTCTATAATATATAATTCTATGAGCTGTGACAATTCCTGGAATGGCCCTGTGAGAACAATGTTTGCTTATTTGGTCACTACTGGCTGCTGTCAACTTCAAAGTACTCCCTTCGTGAATCTATATACTTCACGAAACAATGTTGCCATTGCTGGAAACATTCTTTGAATACATTTGCTGGAATACCTTTCAGTAATGGAGTCGCATTTTGCAGGATGTCATTTACATCAGCAAATCTTTCAGGGCTTTTCCAATTTTGGAAATATCCCCAAATCACAAGGGGCTAAATTTGGTGAATAATGTGATGAATTTCTCTAATGGATTTCTAAATTGGGAACATGCAAACTTTTAATACATCATATTTTTCTCATTCCCAAATCCTCTGCTACACAATTTCACTAGTCATATTAAGTTTTGCTCCAGTCACACACTTAATCTTTGATCTGAATGTACTAAGATTCACACTTATATTTGCATCTATTCTTTGGCTTTGGCTGCATCATTGTATATGTCTTTTTGTTCTTCCTTGTACAGCCTGTGCCACACCAAAAAATTTGATTTCTTCATAGAATGTTCACAGTAAGCCAGTTTTAATAGGGTTAACATTTCACTTACACATTTACTGATCTTCACACAAAACTCCTCTGACTTGTTTTCCACCAACAGTATAACATGAACACATACAACTTCCTTTACTGCTTGGCAACAAATGAATCATTAGCTTGCATGCAAATGTTTGCCTGACTCATTACTCAAATGGCAGACTGCTGTCATTCTGTGAATTGTCACAC